TGGGGGCCCATGGATTTATGGATGTCAAGGTTGGACAAAAGATCTCTAACCCGATCCTCCTCAACTAAGGGAGAGTCTTCCTTTCTCCAGACTTCCTCTCTTGTCTCCAAGGTCTGGAATTCCTGAGGACTGGCCTTAGCAGTGAAGACTGAAGCAAAGGCAGCATTCAATAACTCTGCCTTCTCTGTATCCTTTGTCACCAGGGCACCCGCCCCAGTCAGCAGCGGGCCCACGTTTTCCCTAGTCTTCCTTTTGCTGTTGATGTATTTGAAGAAGCCTTTCTTGTTGTCCTTGACATCCCTTGCCAGACTGAATTCCAACTGGGCCTTAGCCTTCCTTGTCGCATCCCTGCACACTCAATACACTCGTCCCTGTATTCCTCCCAAGGAATTATACAGAACCACTGTTAGGAAAAGAGCGCTTGTCCTTCCCCTGAATTTGCAGGTCAATAATCCCTCTTCAACCTAAACATATATTTTTAGATATCTCATTTGGTAGACAGAATGGGAAGTATTTTAATGACAATCCTACGTAGTTTACATGTTTTGAGAAATGGATGGGATATTTCACCCCAAAGGATAATGATATATGGATTAACAGTATTTTAACATAAAATTTAAACCCTATAACCTCTAAGAGGTCACACATCTGTATAGCATTCATCTTGATTCCTTAAGTAAGAAAACGTTGAAGCAGGGTGAAGGGAGGAAGGAACTACCCCCCTCTACCCCTAAGCTGGTTAGGGCAGCAAGACGATGCGGTATGTAAACTTTAGGTTAAAACACAGCTGTAAGGAGGAGCATCTGCATTCATCAAATGTTAACAGGCTTGGTGCATCACACCACAGCAGAATCCATTTTGTAAATCCATACCTCATCAAAAGCTGTGCTTGCTAAACCAGAGGACATTTGCATTCAGGCAGCGATTTCTTGGGAGAGCTTACAAAGAGATCTCCTGGCACACATCATCATAATTCCAGTTTCAGAGCTCCCATTTGCTCTCTCCCCTCTATACAGGCATGACTGCCCAATAAAGAAAAAACACAGATTGGGGACTGCTTCTTAAAAATGGAAAAGGAAACAAGAAATCCTGAACTGTTTGGAAATGCCACTCAATGCTGACATTTAGTCATTAAAATAGTTTTACGGGGAATACAAGAACTGATCAAAATAAAAGCAATTCTTGGATTTCAGAGTCTAATGAATTCTGAACAAATTCTGATTTGGGATATCCATTCCAGTTATTTTGTACCTATACAGGGAGCTGAATGTGTACAATCTGAACACTAGTAACAGGCCACTTTTAACTCTGCGGAGAGAAAAATGTGTCAAAATTTCTTATTAATGAAACTATTTATTCTGCCTAATAAGATTAGAATTTTCTTGGGCATTAGGCAACAGTTCATTTTAATAAGGAAGTCCATCAAACATCCTCAGTTAAATTGTATTTTGAGAAGCATAAACTGGTAGAATACGCATTCTAAAGAACTGGCAGGAATGTTTTGTGGCAAGAGAAGATCTTTCCAGTAGGAAAAGGTGGGCAGGACACAGTAACGAATAAGCTGGACAAAGTCACAGGGAAGATTTCAATTAAAGACCATACCAGTGTCAGCTCTCTCTTAAGCCCATTAACTGTCCAGCGCAGTCAACATACATGTTTTCCCTTTCCCTAATGTTTTGTTTGTTTGTTTTAAGGTTAAACTCAGAGAGCAGAGCTGAACTGCAGTGCTGGAAGGGAGGCAGTCCCTTTCTTTCTCTTAGCTTGACTCACTGGACAATGAAGCTTCATCTAAGGATAAGTAGAAAGCGTAAGGAAGCCTCTGTCACTTTACTTCCTGTGAAACAACAGTACAATGTCAGTTTACAGGACAAAGTGTGTTACTGGTTATTCTGCATAAAATAGTGAAACTTCCCAAGAACGCATTTCCTTCAGCCATGTGTCAAGACTGATCAGCAATAATCAGCTTACTTGGCAGTAAGTCAGGTGTTTCTGCATTCTACCAGCACTACTAAAAAACAAATATTTCTTCCTTTGTTTGTAAAGGTCTGAACTGAAGATGTTCTTTACGCCCTGGCCATTTTTTTTTTTTTAAATCATCCTTGGTTTTGACTTCGAATAATTTGAGTTCTCAAAACAGCAGTCTAATCACAAACAACTGTCATCACTTATAACATCACATAAAACTTACACTCTGAGATGTTTTACAGTGACTCCTGTGACAATCCAAAACGAACAAAACTCTTGTCAAAAGTAGATGCTACCAAAATGCTTTCAGCTAATTTGAATTTTCAACTTAATGTTTTTCTAAAGGCAACGCTAAAAAAGGTGTCACATGCTTCCAGTAAATAAAAATAGAAGTGGAATAAAGAGGAAGGAGCTTACAGATAACAAAAGTGAACTTTGCTTTTATTTAAATCTTAGCAGATATTAAGTGCAATTCAAAAGGTTTTTATGAATCTACCGGCCTCAGTTCAGCCTTCGGGTAATTACCCACATTCAGTTTGTGTTTAAAAATCTTCTTTGCCTTATCACAGCTTCCTACCACTGTAGCTACTGTCCAGCACCAGATGTACAGAAACCATTTGTACTAATGCTATACAGCTATAAACAACACCAAGTAATTTTCAAATCAAGGACAGCAGGGTCACATCCAGGAACAGACACTGCTACATTTGGTAGGAAAAATTCAACATCAATAAAGATTCTTAGTGTGGCTGTGTGATGTGGAAATGTTAGATCCATTCAGCATTGTGGATCTGTAAGCTCAATACGTTAGAGCCCCTTCCTGGGTAGTCATTTGGTCAGAGTTTATTCTTCAGTCAAGTTTTCCGCTTTATCTTGCCATATAATTTCCAGGTGTCTTTCTCAGTCCTTGTCAGTTAGAGACCTCTCCTCCAACATTTTTAAATAGTCCTCTGAAGTAGAAACTTCAGAATTAGGTAGCATTTACCAGCCAAATAGAAATGATGCATCTCTGTAATACTGCCAGCAGAGGAGCAAAACGTATATGAAAGTGCTAGCAATTCTGCAGCAGCCAAAAAAAAATTATGGGGAAACCAATAAGCTTCAGAAAAAAAAAAGCTAGACATATCATTATAAAGAAAGGGAACATCACACAACCTTCGAATTAAAGATTGTTAGCAAGTCCATCCCTTCCGAAAACAGGGCGTTGACCACCGGATATAGATTTCCAAAAACCTGTTTAGGTTACTTGGTAGTAACACTGTAAGTTGTTTTACTCCAATTTTCTTATTGATTAACAACTTACCAGTTTAACAATTAAAAAAAAAAAAAAAGATAGAGATAGAACAGATTGAGATTTTTCAGTCTTATAAAAGTAGATTTTTAAAGACTCTTGAAAAATAATGTGGCACAATGGAAAGTACATTTTGACTTGGTTCAGTCCAGAAGAATTGTTTCAAACTGTCTCTGACCTAGAGCAAAAAATTGGATTCCTACTAGATAACAGTTCACAGACCTTACAACATAAATTTGCTGAGCCAACAGCTACTCATATTCTTCCACTACTACTGCGTTTCAGCTCTTAAATATGGATGTTCAGAGACTTTGGAGAGCTGAACTTCTATTTTTACTGCTTCAAAAACTCTCTCTACATTAATGAGGCTAGACTCGCACAGTCCTACCTGCTCTAATATCACTTACCTTAGAGAGTTTTCTCTCAGGCTTACAGATATTGGGGAGATCCATAACCATTTAATACCAGAAGAAGGGAAACTAAAATCCGTAGAAAAAGTAATACATCAGGCTAGTAAGCCTTCACCTCATATCACATCTATTTGGTTGCTACCCCATGCTGTGATTTAGTTCTTCACTTCTCTAGTTCTTCTACCTTTTAGGTTTTAGAAAACTAGAAGGGGCTAGCTGGTTACTGTTAACTGCACTCCACAACTGCCTTCATTCATTCATGTTTATTATCATTATTATCTGCTTACATTGTGCGCATGCTGGAAAAATCTATTCATTTCAACGATATGTTCAGTAAGAAATATTTTTCAGTTGGTGCAATTTCATTTTAAACTTAAATAGAATAGACTGGATACTTAAAAGATATAAAGTTATATGCCATCTTTTGCAATGTTTCTCATCCAATATATATGATCTTCATGCTTATGATTGATTTTAATAGATAACACTTCAATTAGACTTACGCTCAATTTGCTTTCCTGTATACTATAAGCACAACAAAATTGTACCATTAATTTCATGTTGAGCACCTGATGAAATTCCTCTTCAGTTAAGAGTTTAGAGTGTTAATAATCAAACGGAATTTACTGTGAAATTCACAGTTCATTACCGGTGGCAAACACTGGGGATACTGAAGGATGGCATAATGATCCTACATAGTTTGTAAAACCTCCCAGTCACTTGAGAATACTACAGGAAGCTGAACTACAAGGGATACCTTAGTTCCTGTTATGAACCTGTTTAGTAAAGCAAACAGGAACTGCCTGGAAACATAATACCCGTATATGAATACAGATTCATCGTTTCATACAGGGGAGGAAAAATATAAATAAATAAAAGCTTAACTAAGCGCCCACTGGTGAATCGTTATCGTATTATCTAGTGAATCAGAAGTAACTACCTCAAAGACTTTTTCCTGTCTTAACATCTTAAAACACATGTCCTCAAGAGTGAAGAGAACAGGAAACATGCCAGTTAAGGGACACTGTGGAGGGGAGGGGAGGTCTTAAGATAGTAAGATGCCAAACAACATGACTCTAAAACAAACAGGCACAAGCTAAGGAAACAATATCTGCACAACCATTGCATCACCAGAAACAGTACATGGGCTTCTGGTATCTCTAAGTTTTCTAAAAGACTTCTAGTGTCCTGAGCAGAATCACCTGCACAGTTTTATCTAAGCAGCAGGCCTGGCCACTAGCACCAGGTGGTCAAATCTAACCATTTCCAGACATGAACCTGTCAAAGCATGTACTGAAGAATAGGCAATTCACAAAACAAAGGTAACAAATGATGGAAAGCCTGTTAACAGAAGGATGAATATACTTTATAAATCAGAACACCTTATCCTGTAGCACTGGTAATCACATACCCACTAGCAAACAAAAAAACTCTACAGAAAACCTCCACGAACACCTTGAGACATGCCTGTCAAGAAGTTTCTTAATTCTCCGTCTTGGTTTGCTACTGACAAAGTTGGCAGCTTTGTCTCCTAATTCCACATACGGTATTTTACAAAAATTCAGGTGTTGCTTGAGAAGTTCAGTACTACGCTCATAATGTTAATGATGGCTGAAGTCGTGCTGCGTTATTAGTGCAAGCACCATGCAGACACAGCAGTTTGACTCTGTCTCCTGTCATTTAAAATAGCTCTTCCACCTGACAAGTAAAAAACACCAGCTCACCTTTTGCATACATTTTCACTAAGAACTTGCTTCACCTTGGTTTTGTATCTCTTAATATAAACAGGTGAGAGGAAAAGGCAGAAAGAATGGGAAGGAGACCTGAAAGCAATATTCTCAAGTCTTAGTGCCTCAGGAGAGGCACTTAGTGTTAACCCCCCAAAAAAGTTAAAAAGCCCCCCTTTGCTTTGCTGTACTTATGTCAAGATTCAATATTTTTTCCAAAAGCTGCGTTCCTCTTATCCTTCTACTGATTTAAAGATCAAAAGTACCACTGTAAAAATGAAGTGACAGAACTGAACATGGTGTACCTGTACTGCCAGATCCACAAACACATTTAGTACTTATTTACAGAATCACAGAACGGTTGAGGTTGGAAGGGACCTCTGGAGATCATCTAGTCCAACCTCCCTGCTCAAGCAGGGTCCTCTAGAGCATATTTCCACCTAATATTTGGCCACCTAATTACACTTTGGAATGAGTGGGAATTTAGGCATCTAAGCATCTTTGTGGATCTGATTTGCACTGTGGAGTTTTCCAAGAAAAGCATACACAATTCCTGCAAGCAAGCATAACTTCAAAGATCCTTTCACACTGTTATGCTTCTTGCCCAGAATGAAAAGTTTACCAAAAGCTGAGGAGAAAAAGAAAAGACTAAAACTAGAACACTCCCTCCAATCACTACACAACTTATTTTAAAGAAATGTGTGGCAATTTTACAAAAGCTCTAACTCTCATCACAAAAATCTCAAGAGCAATAGAAATGAAGATCAGACAAACCTTTCATGAATGTAATACCTAGCATTTTACACAATATAATCAGAATTCAAGCTTACCTTGAATTCTTTCACCTTTTCCATGGTTATCAGGCGCCTCGATGTGTGGCTGGAAAGCATCTGCTCACAGTTACTAACAAGTTTCAGGCACGGGTGCCGGGGAATAATCTCTTCTGTATATCTGGAAGATATAAACATTCAGAGAGTTGTAAGCTCATGAACTGCATCACTTGCACTGGAAACACAAAATTCATACACATTCTTTACAAAATGGCTTACACCAGGAAGCTGCTACAACTTTTTGAGCATAATTAAGTTACCACATACTCAGGTGTATGTGCTCAAAGTATTTACATTATATATTCCCATCATCTTGTGACATAAAACATGTAGAATAAATGAAAATCTCACTGTAAACAGGAAGAAGGGTCCCATCTCCATTTTCTAAAGGTATTTACATGTTTTAAAAATAGGTATGGCTGTATCATTTCAAGTGGAAAACATCTCAGCCAATCAGGTGTAAAAACTTACCCAATCACGAACTATGGTTTTAAAAAAGTATTTCACAATCAACACATATAAAGGTGCAACAATAAGGAAACAACTCCTGCTCCCTAAAGGGAGATCATTATGCTTGAATTCCAAACCATACTAAAACAGCTTCAATAGACAGTGACATTCCTCGAGTTCAGAAGCTGGTGTTACAAATGTATCACATTGTAATTTCTTTGTCAGCTGAAGGAAACATTTTCTAAAGGAAAAGATATTAATTATCTTTTCACATCAGATGACAGCAACACTGGCTAGCAATTACATTCTGTCCATGTCAGCAGTCACAATGTTTTAAGTATCTCCCATCTTATAAGCATGCTAATTTCCCTAGACACAGTTTTCTCCGCATTATATATCCTCCTCCTACTTCTCCAAACGCTGCAAGTGGAATTTAGGATTTAAGAGCTGTGAGAACAGGCAGAGAGAAGTACTGACCTAGCTAATAAGATAAACACAAGATCAGACATCCTTCCTATATACTGCAATATAGACCAGCTATTTAGGTTTAGTTTTTGCAATAAGCTTATGTATAGCATTTATTATAACATACAGCAGAAAATGGTACACGATATTGTCAGTGATTAAAATTTCATATAAAATGGTTCCTCTCGTGATCTCGCCATGCTTTTAGGTCAACAGAAGTCAGTCATCAAAAAGCAGAACTAAATAATCTTCACACCTACCACGTGAACTTAAGACATACAAAGAAGGAACTCTGCATTTTTCCTGTACAGAAGTGGATTTTATGAATGCACTTTCCAAGTATTCTTGTTCAGATAGAAAGAGGAACCAAATCCAGCACAACTGAAAATAGCTCTCCCTATATACACGTATAGGCTTGCTGGGCGACAGTAGGCAAATCCACAAAATGCCAGCTCCACAAAGCTATTTAGGCACACAAACCCGGAGATGGATCGAGGAGACCAGGCTAAAGAACATACCAAAGTACACACTGTAAAAACTAAATTCACCTGCCTAGCCTTAACCTGGCAACACCAGGAAGTGATACAAACTTCTCTAGGCCATAGTTCTGGAATTCATTAACAGTAGTTGGGGGGGGGGGGGGGGGGGGGCCCTCATTTGACAGCCATGATAACCCAGGATTCGGTGGACACAAATTTCAAATAACCTTTGCTATTTTTAACATAGATTTCAGACATTCAGTTGTTTGCACAGTGTTTGCAGGAAAAAAAAAAGTCATCCTCGACAAACCATAGGGAGAAAGAGAAGAAAAATACCAGTTCTGAAAGCTGAACAGCCTAAAGATCTATCCAAGTTCTAAGGGAAATCTTGACATTTCTTAGTTTAAACACAATAGTGAGCTGTTATATAAGTAAGACAATACAAAATACAGTGTAGTAAATAAGAAGAAACTAAACTATATTGCCTCTTTGCATCGTTCTAAAGCTCCCAGATCACTAAACAAACTTTCAGTCACTTCTTGTGCCTGAAATTAAGTCACTTCTGCCAGGTAAAGTCAGAACATCCTTTTGACAAAGGAGAATCAAATGAATTCTCAGCTTTTTTTTCCTCCTATTACATAAAGACTTCTGAGGCATTTAGCACTGTCAAACTGCCTCTCACTCTTACGAGGGTCAGCACTCTGCAACAACATCTTAAAAGTTTTTCTTCATAAACATATAAAAGCCTGACAGCAAAGGAGTTAAAAGAATTCTGACTCAACAACGATTTCAGTGTCAGATGGAAAGAGTAAACTTTGGAGCGAGCTGCTGTCTTGCAGAGTGAGAGATTATTATCACTTTGTTAAAAAGCCTTGTCTGTTAGCATTAACACATATGGTTCTTACTACATACTTTCAGGTGAAACTCAGAATATTATCAAATGAGAAATATAACAGCAGTGGTTTTAACAAAAATCCATTTTAATTCAGATTTGTTTTTACATTAAAGTAACACACAAGGATCATAAATAAGAAATTAACCTGATGGAAGGTGTTGCCCTCCATCAACATGGAAGCGGATACTCAACAGCTCAACATATTACTAACCATCATCTTCTTTTCCCCGCATATTTATTTTAATATTTGGTCCCATGTTCCTCATAACAACTGAAACTGAAGTGATTGTACTAATATTCTGTGCTTATATAGTGACTTCAGCATTTCAACCTTCATTGCATAAAGTCAGTTCATAGTAGAACGTACAAATCTGTTCTTTAAGAGACACCCAAACTAGAGTTCGAGAGCTTATTTCCCCAGAACAGCAACTGAAGTAGAACCAGAATGTGTCGTTCATAGTAATCCAAATTAAACACTGTGCACTGGTGTACTGAGGAAGCACGCTCTTACCAATGTACAATGAATAGATTAAAAAAAACTCTGGTATACTGACAAACAGAATGAACTCTATAATTCCGAGGAGAGTTTACTGGCATGGAAATCTAAGAATTCAGAAGCACATGAGGTCTATGAAGAGTTAAACGTGTACAGACAGGCATTCTGAACAATGAATTACATTACAATCAATGGCATTGTTTTGCCTGTGAACGGTTTTACAAGAAAAAAAGTCTAAAATACTAATACCATCAATCAAAAAAAGAAAAAAGACACGGAAGCTACAGAAGTGCACTCCTCTGTTACAGAAGACAATGCAGAGATCTGATGAAATGGAGTCTGCTGCTTTTTGATTCCCGGATTTTCAAAACAGCATGTGATATTATAGGTGGGATTGTCACAAACCATTTCCATGGTGAAACCAGGGTCAGCAACCAGTTATATAACAGCATAGTCTGACTGTACCTAGAAAAATATGACTTGAAGCTGTCTTGAAGCTTTCTTCAGAGCCCATCTGCATCTGGGAGTTATTTAGAAACAGCTACTATACATCAACTCCCCAACTTAATATAAAACAGTTTTCAAAAAGCAAAAAGACCCCTTAGGTAAGAGTTGCATAACTAAGGTATGTGAATAGATGTGTCTCCTCTTAAGACCTTCTCTGACTTCTTCAGATACTCTCCATCCCAACGCTTGCCACTTGTTTGAGTACATCTATATCTCATCATCCTCCTAGAGCATCACAGTCCTAATCCTAGGCTGCGCTCCTGAGCAGACATCACCACCCAGGCTCTGCTGACTTCTCTCCCCTTCAACCGGGCTACTTTCCTGCACTTCCTGCCTCTCACATACCATCTCCTAGTCACTTGATTTTGATTTCTCAGAACAAGGTTAAGTTAGTGGTGCCAAGCCCCAAAGAGCCAAGAATGTTCTCTTATAGAACCTGGTCTTGAACCCCGAGCAACTACTCTAAAAGAAACACATATTAATAAGTACTTTTCTGCTACTATCTTAGAAATATATCTGCACTTTGAAAGTCTAATTCTCAAAGCTTAAATCTCAACCCACTTCATATGTGTTTACAAGGACCCATGAAGGCTTTTCTTGTTGGAAATAGGCAGGAGTTATCTCCATTCGAAACCACTATTTCAAAATCTGATTTCCTCCATATGATGTTTTAACATATGAATACACGAAGTCTGAGCATGACTCTTCAGTGCAAGTACTATGGAAGTTATAGCTCTATTATGCCAAGAAGAAATTGTAGTTAGAATGTAAAATCCATTTTGGCATACTACATACCAGAAATCAAGAATACATACTCAGGCCTGTATACCGGCAGCCAGTAAACTAATCTTCCTCCCATCACCAGATACTCTGCTGCAAACTTCAACAGGTCAAAAAAGATGTCACTCAGATGATAGTTGGATGAAATGAAGATTTGATTTTCTGTGCTAAACAAAACAGAAAATACAAGTGTAAATATAAAAGGGGATTCTGCAACTCACAGGGACTGAAGAGAACTTCCTAAGAATACAAAATACAAAGGTAAAAGTGGTTCACAGAGCTGAGATATAGGACTTGATATCTGAATACATGCAAATGATAACCAGGGAAAACAGAAACAAGACAAATTCTGGAAGTGACATAGTAGTGACATAGTAGTTTTGCAAAAAAAATAGAAAGGGCTTTTCTTTCTAATTATTATTATTTTATCTGCTGACAGCTAATCAAGAAATGATAAAGATTCCGAAACGCCGACTGGCTTCCCATTAAGACATTTACATCATCAAACAGACACACAGGCTATGTACCTTCTTTCAGCTGACTTAACTGTTTCCTTTTGTGAACCTGTCCTGCGAGTAGCTTCTCGGATACCATATGGTGCTATACAAAGCAAATACATAATGCAGAGATGAGAAGTTCACTCTTGGCGCAAATAACATCATGAAATTCTGTTACACATACACAAAAGTGCACAAACTGTGCCTGTCACAAAATAAAAGCTGGTAAGGGTAGTTTCTTCAAGATCTATTGAAACTTTATCGCTCCAAAGGATTACTTTTAAAGCTGCTTCAAAGAACGTGCCTCAGTAGTAACAGGCTTCTAGCATACTAGACATCAGCTACAATACAGAGGACAATGCTTTCCTGTCTTAATAACAAGTTAGTTCATTAAAAGCTATCCCTTACATTCCCACCATATGACAGGTGATCCCATTCTCTTTTGTGTGAAAAGCTTCTCTGCTATTAACACCTATGGAATCTTTTTCAAAATGAAATTGCATATATTTGAATTTCTTGCTAAAACATTCCACAAATGGTAATTCTCACACAGGTAAAAACAGACAGAAGTGGCTGTTCTCATATATTTTTGCAAATTTCTAATGGCATAACATACTTATTTCATGTTTAGCACATTTGTTTTTGAAAGATTCATTTCAGCATCATGGAAGCACCAGCATCTCCATTTTGTAAGTGCAGAAGCTACAACATAACTTACAAACTCAATTCTAAGTCATGTTCTTATTACACATCATCTTATTGACAAACAGGCCAAATGAAAATCAACAGGCACCTCACAGAAGAAAGTCACATCCCCTGTTCTTAACTCATATCAAATACAGCATGGTAAGAGCCAGCACTAGAGGTCAGAAACTGCTGTATCAGTGTCTTATATTTATTTCCCTAGTCTCTACTCCTTCTCATGCATGACAAATGGTATTAGGTAAAGAGGTTTTTAAAAGAGTGGAGGACTCTTTCAAGCCCCTAGTGCTTCTAGTAGTTAAGTGTACAGGAAATGCATTAAAATCTCTCTTTGGAAGAATTCCAACAAGCACTTAACAGAACTCTGCAGAAGTCCATCACAGATGCATGGCAGACTCCAGTGTGCTGGAGCAACAAGTCTCAAAAGCAGCACAGAGCATTCTGATAAAAAGTCTCCAGAATGAAAAAAAAAAAAAAGCCTTTACTGAATCAGACTTCTTCAAAGGATAATTTTCAGCCACACTGATTTCTACTGACAAATTCAATACTTTCTCTGTGGAAATGTATATTAACTACTTTTTTTTTTAAATTAATATCCTAATAGAGCTCTCTAACTTTGTTATACATTTATAAACTTCCTTAAAATAAATACAGAGATGTCAAATCGCAGATTCGATTTCAACAGTGCTGCCCTCAACAGTCATGTTTTATAATACAGAAATCTCAGACCTGAGCAGTCATCAAGACATTAAATCTACTTCTTCCCATTTCAAATAAATTAAAAAGGCAGGTTCTATTTCTATAACTTTAATAATTGAGTAACATGTATCTATGACAAATAGCATTTTATTCCCTGATGGATCCTAATGAAGTTGATAGAATTACTCACATACTAAAGCTAAAAGAATACAGCAAAATCTGGCCTTTCATACTACCTCTTAGATCCTCAGTTTACTAATTTGCTTTTTGGTTTAGGAAAGCTTTAATAATCTTTATTAGTCTAGATATATATGAAATTAAGCACATACATAAGCAATAATCTTTTAGTCACTGTTATTAGACAACAAAAACATTAATAAGCTTACGATCTGTAATGATGGCATCAAACAGCATCCCCTTTCGCCATATTGGTTTTGAAGAATCAGAAACCAGTGCATCAAGGTAATATTTCTCTAAACTATACTGCCGGAGATTAGCTCTGATATTTTCATCTGGCCCCCTCCATTTCTGGTTCTTTCTGGTTGCCTTGCCTGGGTGGGATGAAGGGGTGGGGAGGGGGAGGGAAAAAAAAAAAAAAAAGAAGAGTACTCCACGACAAACTATTTTAGAGGAAAAATTTTCTCATTCTCTATCATTTACTTTAGAGCAAAGTAATTAAATATCACATATAAAATAAGAGTGTTATCTCCTGCCTTGTCCTATTCACCGTCACAAGCAGTTATGATAAACTTTACAAGTAAAAAACCATATAACAATAACACAAGATGAACAATTTCCTTATTCCGATCTCTATAGGATGCCATAGAGCACATTTTAAAATGGTTCGTTTGTAAAATGTTTGCTTTAGAGTACCATTCTTCATCAAGCTGTTATTATCCCTCAGTCATAAACCTGTCCAATAATCCAAATTTAAGTTGCACTGCTATTTTTTCAGAGAAGTGAGAGGGAGATTAGACTTGAAGCAGTAGGTTACAGGAAAATAAACTTCTGCATTAAAGAACAAGGAAGTGTACAGACATTGTCATCACTATTCAGGATTTTGTTTTTATTTTTTCCCTTATTCATTTTATTAAATATTTCCTGCTTAAATATTATAAAACAGCTTAGTTAGGATACATGTAAATTGGTCATTAACATCAAGCATGAGAAAATGTGAAGATGAATGTTGCTTTTATATCTACCAAGTATCATATGCTATCTTCAATATTCTTAAATTCCAAAGAGTTAGGTTTCAACTGCTTAGAAATATGCAACATACCTAATCCATGGATTGTGTTGTAGTCTATATCGGTACCACACACATATGCTCCAAAGTGTGCTGAGGAGATAAGAAGGCCACCTATAAAGGGCAGAAAAAGTGAAGAGTATAAACTGCTGTCACGAACACTAGCTACTTCAGTACTTTTTCCCCAGGAACTTCAGGAGTTTAAACCAGAAGCACGCTAGACTCTAATTTAGACCTGAAAAAATAAAAATAAAACTATCAACTGTTTAGAATCACTACACAAGTATAATCAGAGATAACAACAGCAAGTCTTGTCTGTTACAGCTGATTTTCCTTCAGCGTACAGTTAATTTGCTATGTTGGTCCTTATCTCTAAACATCGTTCTTAAGAGTTTGTTTACAGTTTATTGTATTTCAAGGCAATAACACCCTCTAATCATTACACGAATCAAAACTGTAATTTTATTTTGTATGCACTACTGAAAAAACATTTGAAAAATCATCACCAAATAAATGGTAATTATACAGTGTCTGTTTGCCAAGTCTGTCTCCTTAACTGTGTCCAAAACCAAACTGGTTGTGTTACATGGCAATGCCCCGAGCAAGAAGCAATGGCCAGATACCTCACAAATGTAAAGATATGCAGTGTAAATGGCAATATCAAAAAAGTTTCCTGAATTATTTTGCAGTGTGAAAACAACTATATACAGATGCATTTTTTTCCTGCAGGTATGCCATCTATTTTGTCAGTACATTCATTAGCTTATTTATCTTGTAATAAAACTAGATTTTGTTTTTTACTACTATTTTACTACTGCTATTGTGATCTGCTTTTCTGGTCAAAAAGTACTACCAAAAAAGCATGTGTGATTTCCCCTAGAAACTGGGCAATGGTTGAATAGCCCACAGAAAAGAGCATCTCCATGATGTCTTTAACAGCTTCTAAAAAGAAAAAAAGGAGGGATTGCACAGGATTATCACAGAACTGTATTGTCAAGCTGTTAATCAGGACATGTAGAACTAATAAATAGTTTAAAACAGAACAGTAACTGAGAACTAGGCTGTGAACTGCGGACTACTGATGCCAACTGCTTTATGGATAGAATTAGTCCCACTAAAATGAGGCAAGCGATTCCTGCAGAATAAGAGTTCAGAAGCACAAGGAATGCACAAGCTGGCTGCGTGGATGACAATAATTTTCACATTAACTGACAGTCTGAACAGGAACGTGTCAGGCAGCTGCATTCCACCATGCCACCCACTCAGCACTGATAAATCTGTAAAACAGACTGCACATACAGGCCAAAGCTGCTGTATCAGAGCACTAGAAAACTCCCATATCATACGCTAATAAATTCATCTAAAACTGAAGGTGAGGGTGAAAAAAAAATTCTCTGCTTTTTCTTGTAAAATGGATCAGGGAAAAACAAGGTTACTCACCCCAGAGGAGTCACCCATTTCCCTTCTCGGCTGTAATCCCTCAGAACAGATGGGCAGTGCCTCCAGAGGGTCAAGACAAATTTAGCTAGCCTTGCCCCCAATTATGGGGGCAGGGCCCCCATACCACCCAGTCCTATGAAAAGAGTAAAAAGAAAGTACTTTGCCCATCTAAGAATATTTTTTAAAATACAGAAGAAAAAAGGAAATAGGAAAACAAACTTACAGCTTTCAATAAATCTCAGGTGGTACTCAATTCAGTTGTGTTCACATATATGGTCCATGGACACTTAAAACACTGTACCTTCACTAGCCTTTTGACCTAATATACTAAACAGATGTATACAGAGGGTTAAGCAGAGAATCATACTGTCCTCTGATGACTCTATTAGCAGAATGACGATGGCACAGAACTTCACGCCATTCTATTGGACAGTGTCTATTTTCTCCACCTCTTGAGCAGGCATCAGATCTTGGCCATATAGCTATCCTCCAGGATGTCAAAGAAAAAATTCCTATCATTTGCAATTATGCGGCATCATGAATTGGCAAAAGGAGAGCAGGGACTAATGTTCAGAGGTACAAACAATACGCTTGTCGAGATAACAAGAGCAAATTGTCCAGAAAGACAGTACAGAGCATTCCGATAAAAGACTTGATTTCTCCTTCCAGAAACGTCCAAGCTTCTTTCTGACCAACTTTGACCAAAAAAAAATGTTTAAAAAGTTTATGGAAATTACATTCTACATCTCAAAAACAATCATAGCCTTTTTTTTTTTTTTAAGGGAACTAAATCTCTTAAATCAGCCTGGTCAAAAGCATTTTTCCTTCCAAGAATAAATTCCAATTGTTCATTGTTACATTAATGTGAAAGACTTGTGATTTGACTCATCTAGCAAAAAGAGTTTGCTTGCTACAAGCAAGCACAATTTTGCAAAGCTGTTCCAATTTGGTGATATTTACCTGGTCAGCATAAAAATGGGAAGAAATGAAGCCAGATATTAAACATGCACCAATAAAAAAATCTAGACTACAGTTTCTTCAAAGTGTTCCTCAACTCCTGTATACATTGTTCTTTCCAAACCCATCAGCTCAAATTCATGGTATCATTCTCAGCTCTGAACTACCTTCCAAAATTTCAATAATGGCGCACCATTGCCTTGACAATCTTGAAAATCTTCTGAATGATCTCATAAGACTAACAAAGTTCCTGGATTTTACTCATCAAGAATAGCTGCAAAATAAAAGCTACCCAAATTAGAATAACTGTATCCTTATAAATAAACCTTGCTGACAAGTGGGTGCTACCCAGTATCTCTAGTGTCCCTACACACCTTTAATTGCAAGCCTGTACATTATAGATATCTAGCATAATAAAAATAAACACACTTTTAATTGTTTGGTAATTTGAGGATAAATTTGTACATGACTTACACTTTAGAACTGTATCGCGTAAGACTTATAACACTTACCTTGAATTTCTACAGCTTCCCCACTACTACATGGGGAAGCTATTCCTTCCTATTTCTTTCTTCAATTTTCACTCCCAAGAGAATGAATTCTCTCAGAGATTTTTTTGATTTAGGTTTAGTAGATTTTTGTAAAAAGAAACAAAACCACAGACATTGAAGTTAAACTGCTTAGAGAAGAACTAGAGGAACTTCCTCAATTTCCTCAACCTTTCAAAAAGTGCTACCCATCTGCAAGGAACACAAGCACAGGAAAGAGAAGTACATTTCATAAGAGATTATTATGCATGCTAAAAAAAAAAAAAAAGTCGTATACGGGCAAAATTTAGAGATCAAATAGTTCACTGAAATCTGTGTTTCTGAAAATATTATATTCCTGATCTATTTTCTATGGTACAGAGAAGCCACATGATAATAAGTATTTGTCCTACAAGTTGACCCTGTAATATTGCCTTCTCTTTCCCCAATATCTTTAGAACGATTTGCTCAGTGAACTCTTTTCATCCTCCCAACATTAATATAAATATTGTTTAACTGTATGTGGCTCACATATGGCCTTCCTAACACTTGATCAAAGGTTATCAAAAACCAGGTCAGAAACACAGCCTTTTCTTATGCCTTAACACGATCTACTTTACATGATTAAATGACACAACTTGACAAAATGGAACTTCTATTTCAATTAGAAAACAGCTGTGTCTCCTTCAGGAGAAAAGCATTTCTAAGCCATACACAGTTAAGTATTATATGGAGTAAAAGCTCCCCCTGCTGGCTAAACTAAGAAAAACTCAGTTTTGATATGAACGCTGCTGTCCTAAAGACAGGATGATACAAACAACTGCTATTTTGTGTTACGTGCTCAAAAGTGCCTTCAGTGCTGCTCTAAATAGTCTTCTCTAAAAATGCTGCTCCATGTAATGTTTTGAAATTGGCTGCAGGAAACACGGGAGCCAAATTTTCACTTCTAAATTACACTGGATCTTAAGTAGTCCGTAACACACAACAACTGGTATTTAAGCCATATTACATAAATAACTGATAAAGACGGCTTATTATATTTCTGACAAATCTGTTTACATCGTCGTTGATCACCTCCCTAAAAAGCCCTTACAAGATAGTTCAACATTTCACTTTATAACCATCATTTTGCTTTTGGCACCCTCTCAAACCTCATTCAAGCACTAGAAGCTGCTGTGTATGGTAGAAGGGTGGTGCAAGCAGTACACAGTCTCTAAACTGAAGTTTTTCCCTGAGTAGAAGAAAAAATACCTGTTCCGACAAATGGATCAAATACAACATCATTGGGTTTTACTCTTCCATGGTTTGCCATAATGAAAGACAAGCAGGCATCCATGCTAGTATTTCCAATGAAGTGTCTCTTTTTTACGCTGTAGGACTCAATAAGTTCTCTTTGGCCATCTGCAATCTGTGGAAACATTGAAAATCACTGTCATGTCTTAGATACAAGAGATAAGCAGTCAGATTAACAGACTTGCTTAGTGACACTGTCCAACAAACACGTAACTCTCCATTTCACAATATAGCACTTTGCTTTTTGCCTTCTGAAAACATGACACAACTCTTTCCAAGTAAAAGATATCTCGGCGCAATACTTAAATTTTTGGCCTCTATCTTGAAAAATTTATCTAAGGAATTTGGAGTGAAAATTCTTCTAAAGAAATAATAATTTTAGTAATATTGCTATTATTCTAGTTTTCAGAATAACAACTTTTGGCAATTCAGAGTTAAAATAACTTCAAAATGTTAAGAAGTGGAAATGCATGTTTATATAGGTGCGTGCGCACAGGCACACACACACACAGAGGCTTAAGATCACACAGAAGTTCCATCTTCATTGGCTTTCCTCTCATGCTTAAAATCTATATCTAATATAGTGTCGACAGACTACAACTTACCAGAAAAAAAAAAAAAAAAAAACACGCCTCAACTCCTGAGCATTTTATCATCAGACTTCCAAAATACGTTGAAGAGGATCAAAGTAATGTGGAACAAACCACATTCAAAAGCGCCTCCAAAACTATCCCTTAGCTCTATTCAACATGAGTCTTACTGGCTACACAGAATATATGTGCCTTTTTTTTTTTCAGTTTTGTTGTTTTGTTTTTTAAACACTTCAGGAATCCAGCACAGATGGGTTTGCAGCTTTGCAACAACTTAGGGCATTTTTGCATTAATCACAGGAATGAAGAATATTCACAGGCACTAAAAGCTAACTTGGATCTCTAACTTACATAGTTATCTGAACATAACCTCTGATCACAGCTGTGCAATCTCAGTGGTGGTTCTCCTTTCTGACTGCACTTGAACCAGGACATTCCAGAGCACATCCTCCCCATCAGTGGCTTGTGCCATTCTTCAAGGATGTCCATGGGGCACCCACTTTTTCCTCAAAAGGTATAAAAGACCGGATCCCATTTCCTCAGAATGTCCTGATAAGACTTGAAGGTTTGAAGTATGCACACTCAAGAGGTAAGAACATTTGTAAAAAATATCTCAGATGATAAGTTCCAGAACGTTTGTTTTTTTTTTTTTTTAAATATTTTTTTACTGCAGAGCAGAGTCCTGCCAGCATCCTACCACACAAGCATCCACTTCTGGGCTGGACGCACTGAAGTCCAAAGTCTCAGAGATCAGTTCAAGCCCTTCTGCTGAGGTGGTTTTCAGGACTACTTCAAGCATTTATGGAATGCTCCAGTAGGCTGATGCAACTTAGCACAGCCATAAGTCATCTGCAGTTCCTGTAAATCTTTCTTCATGTCTGAAGTAAGCACTGGTACTTTTAGCTGCAACTCCACATTGATCAAATAAAATGCTGTAGCCGTGCAGACTTGCTGCTACACTGAGTTCCCTCAACAAAGGGCAAAAATAAGGTACATTCTTACATACACCTTTAATTTCTTCCACCTCTGTTTAAACTGCTAAATTAACCTGCCTTTCCCTATTCAGAGCAAGGTTTTCCAGGACTTGTATCGGTGCATTATGCAATGACATATTCAGCTACAATTATATTATCACTGTTTTCATTCAAATTTTGCATAGATTTTTATAGTTAATTTAAGAAGACTTTCCTGAAAATACCAGCTAGTAAAAACTGAAATAAGTGTACTCACGCACCCATCTACCAAAATACAGATGAAGAGGCTCTTCGGGCACATTGTTAGGGTCCATTCCATAATCTTCTAAAATCCAGAAAACGTGTTCTGGATTCTTTAAATTCACTTTTCCATTGAATGGCAGAAATTCTAGAGCCTGTATTAATAAAGCAAAAGAGAGTACAGAAATTCTTAAACTTTTTTTTTTAATATACACCCCAAGAAAATAAAACAACAACAACAACAACAGTCCACTTGTGAGGAATAATGAATTATTACTGGAAGTACTTTCTCAGCTTTCCCTGGATTTTTAAAATGCCTTTCTTGCGAATAAAGATAGCCCAAATGATTCAGATTTAAGAAATGTGGAACTATAACATTTACTATTAGCTGAACAGCATCCAACTTCTGAGAAAATAAAATATATATATGTTAATTATGCAATTTTCAAGTTAAAAAACAACCCTTTTAACGGACAGCGAGGTATAAAATGTCAGTGACGTGTGCTGCAACACAAATTTACATATTCAGCATTATTTCCTGCACAGACTAAACCTATGCAAACAAAAAAAGGTATCTCCTTCCCTTTGTCCTCTTCCTCACTCATCTCCCCTCATGCTTTTACATACCCTTCAACACATATAAACAAAAAAGCTAAAGAAATCTTATCTGAAATTCCTCATGACAACCTAAACCCCATACAAAAACATACTATATTTAATACAGTTAATTTCAGTCTCAGTAAACGAACTAAACAAAGTAACTGATAAAAGCAGAACATTAAAAAGCAAACATTAATAATAATTTAGAACTCTTCTCAATTAAAATACTGTTACAGTTAGGAGGAGAGAATAAGTGCAGACCAGAGCATAAGGACAGGACAGGAAACCAGCAAACAATCCACAGCTTGCAACTAAAGTCACCGGACTAGCTTGTTCCATGTCCTACAACCATAAACATCTAATATGGAGATCAAGTAGCAGATTTTTTAACATCTGGCACCTACCTCTAACCATTTGAGCCACAACTCTAGGTTAATAACTCCCACCCGCTAAATCAGCACAGTGATATTTGTGTGTCTTTTCTAACCATTTGAATTTAATAATTTTGAGCCACAACTCTAGGTTAATAACTCCCACCCGCTAAATCAGCACAGTGATGTTTGTGCGTCTTTTCTATATGCCTTACATGGTCTATTTAGAAAAAAGAAAAGCGAAAAAAAAGTCAGGAACTTTGAGGGGAATGTTAAGTCAGATACAAAAATCTCACATTTAGAGTTGATAGGACATAAACCGTAAACTGCCTTAAGACCTTCAGAAAACCTGGACGTAAACACATTTTGGACAAAACTGACAGCACAGAGTAAGAATAGCATGAATAGATGAAATTAAAGGATAAAGATTTCTTTAAACATCCACTTACATCTATCTTTTTTATTTTCTCTGCTTGGGTCAGCGTTTTGTTAAATGTATGAATATGTACTTTGTATGTAGAGTCTGACTGTAGATACGGAAGCTGAAACAAAGGCAAGGACACTTTTGTTAGTATAGCTCTCGCGTTATTCAGTGTGATTACAGAAATACATTATCCAGATTCTTTGTATGCATACCATCTTGTCCATTGGATAGCTCTTCAGAGATGCATAAAGCTCTCCTGCAGACCTGCCATGACCCCACAATTCAAATACAGACCTGAAAATACCAAGATTTGTAGACTGTAGTCATATAGGTGGGAAAAAAAGATACCTTACAGACACTTATACCTTTTCACCAATCCTTCTTGTCCAATGTATTTAGGCTTTACTTCATGAAGTATTGAAGCATCTATTTACACTTTAGGACACACTTAAGTTTCGTTCTGAACAGGGACACCTTTTTTTTTTTTTTTTTTTTTTTTAAATCCTGAGCTGATACTTCAATGATGCTTTATTTGTTTGGTAACATATACTAAAAAGTAAATTTCAGTCTTTGTACTCTTGGATATCATCAGATTTTTTTCTGCTCTGCAGCAGCGATACTTGCAAGCGAGACAAAAATTAATTTGCTTCTAGCAGTTTGGTGGGGTAGGCAAAGGCTGGAAAAGGTCAAGAACAGACTTTCAAAGTGTCACGCCATCCTGGAATAAAACAAATAAGGAACTGTAACACCTTACACGTAATGATGTCGTCAGTGGTTCTACGTCATTTTAAGATATTACGGTTTTGACATTTTAAGGTATTTAAATGTTATTCTTTCTTCTTATTCTTTTTTGTTTGTTTCCGTATTGCTGGCTTTTAAGAAAAGCACTGCCTTGGGAAGATGAGAGAATTCACACTACTGTAATAAAGGGACAACAACACATAACATATCAGAGATCTTTCTCCCAACGCTCAAATATCCCAGTCTAGTGGCCTTTCCATAGGAAAAAAAAATCCTCTAGTACAGGAATCCTAGTGGCACTGCATGTACTGTTAGATATCCAACATACCATATACAGAGACAGTCTTTCAGGATTAGAAGTGGCATGTAGTACCCTTCAAAGATGATGGCTGACCCCTGAAGAAAAATCTTCAAAATGTTCAAAGGTTTAGCCCACTCAAGCAGACGTGCAAGAGAATTACGTTTTACTAAGCGACAATAGCAGACACCTAGGTCCAACGGTAAATCATTTTGTTAAGGTATTTCTTTCTTGAAAAAACTATCTAAGGCTACATTCGTAATCTGCAGTTGCCCTGAAAAAGAAAGCATTTTTAGCAGTATGTAATTTCTTCTCAAAGCATCTGTATCTACTATGAGAATTTAAACTAGATTTATAGACAGAACTATGGAAATGTTGGCAGCATAGGCTGCACTAGGCAGAACTAAATATTTATCTTTGAATTTATTCTAATGTTGGAGAAGCTCTTATAACATCTTCAGGCCCCCTTCTTACTTTTAGAGTTTCATATCTGTTGGAAAAGCCACTTAAATGCTGGGGTGCTTTTCTTTCGATAAATACATGCTTGACAGTTTTTAATACTTACTAGCACTGAAAAAGTAGAGTAAGGTTGCTGGTGCATCTCCAACTAGCATGCGTCTCCAGATTCAGTAACAGATGGGAAAAATAGCAGGCCAGTTTTATGCTTTCTACATACATTTCTTATACATATTAGTTGAAAGAGCACGGTATATAGATAACCTGTAAGTTGTTCTCATGTTTTGCTTCCTTAATTGCCCCCAATTCTGTTTTGAAGTGCAACACAGTTCTTCCCCATTTGAAACATGACCATAAGTACAATTTTGTATACATGGCTTTATTTTGGCAAGAGCGGACAGCCAAAGCCAGTGCAGGTAAAACTGAATGCCTAACACAACAAGCACTCAACAAGGACCAAGGAACGCTCCACAGAGATGCCCAGACTAACTCTGAACTAGACAGCACAGGCACTATAAGCTGAAGTTAGCGTGGTCAGAGAGCCACACTAAAGCTACGCTGCTTCTGGTCCTGAACTACACCAAGGAGGTATCCCTCAAATCTCAGTGAAAAGCTTGTTACTCAGACCCTCAATAAATGACCAAAAGCAGCAGGAGTAATCACTAACACTCTGGCATGTTCCTTTGCTCTCAAATTTTCTAGAAGGATTCCTCTCTGCTGCAGCAGTCTGCACTGGACTCAGATATCAACACTAGGAGGGTGACACAGGGAATCACTATCGTTCCCTTTTAAAGGTGATGTTCAGTTTTTAACGGACTCCATTTTTATCTTTTAATCGCATAAGTATTTTAATATAAGTCACTAAATAAGTGTTATTCAAGTCAGTAACACTTCAAGGCAAGTACTGGCTCTGCAGTAAAGAACACTGTTTCAAGATCCTGTGCTAATCTTACCCTATGTAAAGAGGACAGGCATTCCACATAATCAGTCCTGCACATTCCAACAACGCCTCCTCATTTCAGAGTGACTGTGTACTTTCACAGAACCACAGAACGGTTTAGGTTGGAAGGGACCTCTGGAGATCATCTAGTCCAACCTCCTTGCTCAAGCAGGGACCTCTAGAGCATATTGCCCAGGATCACATCCAGACGAAGAAGTTTTTCCTCAGGTTTAGATGGAAATTCCTGTGGTTCAGTTTGTGCCCGTTACGTCTTGTCCTGTCACTTGGCACCACGGACAAGAGGCTCCATACAAAGGCTCCATGCAAAATTAGTATTTGCCACAGTATAGTGGAATAATTTTCCACAGCATACATTATCATTTATAAGATTTTTCACCTCTTACTTTGCACATACTGTTCGTTTCATTAGTCCCCTTGCCATCTCTTCTGAAGGAATACTGAGAATCCAAAATGGAGACTGAAATAAAAAGAAGATACATGACTGATCCAAATGCCTTGTCAGAATATATTACATGAGTTACGCAATGCAATCCAAATAACCTCTATAAAAACAGAACATGCAAACTGAAGATAAAGAAAAATCTGTTAACTATACAGAGAACATGAGGATAAAACATATAATTTGAGGTAAAATTGTATATTCACTTGAATGGCCAAGAAATTTTATTATAGATTTCATTTCTCCACCATACCTTGACTTGACAAGTATTATTTGTTTATGCTTCTCTAGATTACTCATTCTCTAAAGAACTATAGCACCTAGATAAACATGAGTACTAACTAAAACTGAAAAATGTTCTCTGATTAACCATTGAGACTACAATAAAATCGTTTCTTAGCTTCACTTTTCTAGAGATGTCAAACTATTGATTTAGAGGCAAATACCAAACTTAAAGAGATGCACAGCTACTAACTCTTTTCACGGCTCAACTATTCTGAAAAGAAACAAAAGCCTTCCAGTAGATGGCACTATTTCTTTTCGTATTATTAAACAGAGGTGTCCTCAGCTGCATTTTGTGCATCTTTTACTAAATTGAAAATCTTAACTGAAATTGAGAATTATTCATTTTTGGAAGATATTTTACTTTCCTAAGAAACTTCAAAATGTATTCAGCAACCTACCTGTAATAAAAATATTATAGAGAATATATTTGTATACCATAAATGCACTCTAAAATATTTGATCT